CAGGAGCGGTTCCAGTCGGTTGCCACCGCCTTCTACCGTGGCGCCAACGGCGTTATGCTCTGCTTTGACCTCACGCATCGCCCCTCGTTCCTCCATCTAGATCAGTGGATGGAGCGTGTTCGGCAGCAGGCACTCCCGGGGATTCCGTGCCTGCTCATCGGGTGCAAGTGCGATGAGGCACGCAACGCGCGGCAAGTGACGAAGGAAGAGGCAACGGCGTGGGCCCAGCAACACGGCATGTCGTTCATTGAAACGAGCGCGAAGGAGAAGGAAAATGTGCAGTTTGCCTTCCAGCAAATAACCAAGGAGATATTTGTTGATCTGAAAGACCGCAACGGCAAGTCGATGGCGGCGGGGGGCAAGAACGCGGGAAGGGCGGAGAGCGTGAAGTTAGACGCCCAGGGAGGAAAGCGGAATTCTTCGGGCGGAGGTGGTTGCTGCTAGACCAAAAGGGATTGAAAAAAAAAAAGATATTGTGGAAGAGGATTGCATTCTGTGCTTGTGCCCTAACAGGGCTGTACGATGGCGGTTCGTCTCGCATGATAAAGGTCATACTACGTCGAAAAATCTTTTTTGTTTCTTTCTTTGGAGGCCCGAACTGCTGCTATTTCTTGGGAACCTCTTTACGATATTTTCCACTAGTGCTGTTCTTTTTCTTCGTAGAAATATATACGTATATATATATATATGTGTGTGTGTATGGGCAACGTGCTTGGGAGTTATGCGTGCGGCAATGTGCAGTATATTCGTTTTGCAGCACAGCCTCCCCATTCACTCCGTTGCCACGCCAGGCCTTTTATTACCACCTGGATGAATGGACTGGATTTGTTGTTGTGGGTCATGCACGTGTGCTTTCACCTCTTCCTGCCTTTCATTTTTCGATGAGCTACACACCCGCGGAGAGGACAAAAGGGAACAGAATAGTAGATAAGAATAGGAAAAGTAGTCTGGTTTATAGCTTCAGCATCAAAGGTCTACGGTTGACAGGGCATGGCCTGTGCTGTAGTGGCTGTATTATTCTATTTGCTTATGCACGCAACTGCGTACGCTGATCAATGTAGCAGCAGGCCTATCTACTACGCATCGGAATGCCTTGCCATGGATGGGTGTTCGTGGTGTTGTGAGCGGCCTGTGGGCTCCCAGTGCTTCGACAACGCGCGGGGCTCGGACTCTTCCTTTGCAGTGTGTAGCGAGAATGCGACTCTGTCGAACCCCAACACGACGTGTGGGCAGCTGTGCGCTACGGCTATAGGCGATTGCGGCACCTGTGAACAGAAAAACTGGTGCTACTTTTGCATTGGTTCATCTTTGTGTCAAGCTCCGTACGCCACATGCCTCAACGGTGAGGTTATTCAGTCCTGCAGTATGCTGAAGAAGCCAGCGGGGAGTGACTTGTACTACTTCAAGGTTCTAATTTATGTAGGCGGTGCGCTTATTGGAATAGCGGTACTCGCGTCATTTATTTTGTTGTGGCTTCGTGTACGCCAGCGGATGCGGGAGGACCACCAAACACTCGCCGATGAAGGCAGACCGTTTCTCAACAGTAACACACACACGGAAAGTGACAGCCACAACAACATAGCTGGTGGTGGTGGTGGCGGTGGTGCTGAGGCAAACACTGTGGATAGTGAGGCACCGGATGCCGAGCCCGAGGCAGCCACGGGGCCTCCACCAGCGGAGGAGCGTGAGGGTGGCAGGACGGTGCAGTCACCTCGATCCGCGAAGGCGAGCACAGCAGATGATGACTCGCTGTGTTTTTTGTGTCTCGAGGCGAGTCCGGCGGTGACGTTTCTTCCATGCTACCACACATGCTGCTGTGAGGCGTGCAGCAATAAACTACGCCCCACACGCGCAGATACGCTGACGTGTCCTTTCTGCCGAGCCAGAATTGTGGCGATGGTGAGTCTGCATAGCATCTTGCTGCAAGCGGCCTCACCGTCTTAAGCATGGCTTTGGTGTGTGGTTGCTTATTGGTTCCGTT